AAACAAAAAGTTTAGTATAATATATAAAAAATAAACGTTGTTAGTAAATACTTACATTAAAACGCTTCACGGTTCCATCAACATACACCAACACATCGCTGATATCATTGTCTGTGACCTTATTTGGATCAAGCATGCCTGGTGACGGCCTCTCACTGTTTTCTGCACATTGCCCAGAAGTTTCATGGTTTGCAGATTGAACATTAGAAGCTGGATTTGAAAAAGATACGTATTTGTGTTGGTCTAAAAGACTGGAACAGTGTTCAAATGGGTACCATTCATAAGTCTCCTATAAATATAAACAAGAATGAATGTTATAATATTTTGCATAATGATATTAACAAAAAGATTACGAACAGGATCTAGAAGGTCAGATGGTTTGTATTCTCCCTTGTAACGCATTTTTTGACAATTGTGAATGTAATATCCTAAAAAATTATGAATAGGTGAAGTCACGTGAAGAAATCGACTTCGATTCACATATCTAAACACCTACCCATATAGTACCAATGTAAATCTTTCAGTCCTGCAACATACAATTCAAGGGTCATTGATATTTCTCTAAGAGCACTGTATTTCCCGAGCTGTAGGTAACTAAAATCCGGATCATAAAAAAAGTAAACAGACGATGCGCATTTTGGTAGTATGTCAAGAACGGCAACAGCAATAAGTTTATCGTCCAAGTAATAATTTTGGTGAAATGAGCCATATCCCGGTGTATTTGGAGTTACTTGCTGTTCATACTTTAAATAAAGACAATTAACATAAAATCAGGTTTAATGGATTCACCATTTAGAACACTAAAGGAAATTTAAGAAGTACTTTTAGTGGGGAATTCACAAGGAATCTTCGAAAACCTCCTTCAGATACTTCAGTATCATTATGAATATTGGTTTGATATTTGTAGTAGAGTTGATATTTTTCTTGAGTAAAAGAAGATTGTTCAATCGTAATCTATTCACATAAATGCATATCAAAAGTTGTAAATTTATTTAGGAAAAAAATTTATTTGAAAAAATTCTTTAATATACAGCACTTTAAATTTATGTTTCAGATCTACTCGACACTCTGCTTCATGGATTACTCCAATCAAATCAAAAGTTTTTTCGGTACGCTTCTTAGATTTCGATTTATCCCTTCGAAGAAAATATTTTTTAGAGGTTAAGTATAGAACTTAATTTATTAATACGATCACATTTTATTTGTTTACCTGTTTGAATCGGTATCTTGCGTATTGGAAGGATCATATGTTCCTTCAAGAAATCGATTAAATCTGTTGATCAATTGCCGTTGCGATTTTGAGGCATGAAATTTTGTTGCATCCAATCTATTGAGAATACATGTTTACTAAAATCGTATATATAAAATTACAGCACTGTGCTAATTATAACAAAGAATTGCCTTATTGTATATTGCGGGCAACAACTATCGCGTAAATTTGGTTTATAAAGCAATGTACCAGATCTGGATTAGAATATTAGAAATAAAATATTTTAAAACATTGATAATTCTCATTGATTAACCTTGACTTTGAAATTCTCATACCGTCGCCAGCCACGATCGATAAGGTCTTGGTAATCCTTAAAAAGTAACAAAGTTAATATAACATACTAACAAAATAATTTAACTTAACTTACCTGACAGGTCAATTTAACAGCACTTAAATAGAACTTATTCGAGGTACTTTCTCTGTCGTTACAGTAACCACAATCTGCTGAGGTATAGGAGCCATGACTCTCAACAAAAGAATAACCGGTTGTGGGCATCCAGAAAATATTTTTATTGCTTCCGAAGAGAGACTGGAGACCTTACTACAGTCGGGGCTTTACTTATTTGTGCCGGTAATACAAACTCCTAAAAGGGGACGTCTAGAGTGGAGTAGATAATCAGTGTCAGCAATATGAATAGAACAATAGAGCAATAGAATATAGCAATAGAATTTAATATAGCAAAAAAGAAATAGAACAATATATAGAATGGAACAAAAAATTGACAAGTGCAGATAATACATCTTATATTAGGGTTAGGTTAGGTTTTAGATAAGCAAAATTGCCTTCCCGACATTTTTTCTTGTTTTGCTTCGCTGGCGATCATCAATATT